TTTTTAAAGAAAATAAAAAATAATTTAAAAATTAGAAACAATACAGAATTTCTCTAAATAAGACGATAGAAATTCAACAGTAGTTATTATATTGCATATTGTTGTCTTCAGATTGGTTGATCACATTACCAGATACAAGCATGCAAAACCGGTCAAAAAATTATTGTCTTCCTGGTGTGAGGAACTATAGTATAAGGTCCAAAGTGCACAATAGATAGTGTAAAATGGGAAGAAATTGTTCAAAAGGAAAAAAGAACTAGGATGGGGGGAGGAGGAAAGGAAGGAAGGGAAAAGGAAAAAAATAAAATGCAAGATAGTTATACTACAAGCTTCTCAGTTCATTGAAAAGAAAGGTTTGTGCTAATATCATTTGAAGAATTTTTGAAGTCCATATTGTGCATGCTGATTAACTATTTTAAAGATAATAATACTCAATGTATTAACTATTGTTATTCTCCTATTATTTTGTTATGAAATTTTGTTTTACTATTTTTCCATTATATATATATATATATATATATATATATATATATATACATATATGCAAAAATTATTCTTACTTCTTTGAATGTTTGGGAAAATTTATCAGTGAAGCCATTTTGATCTTGAGTTCTTTTATGGCAAGGTTCTAAATTACAAAATTGAATTTCTGTAGTAGATATAGGGCCATGTAGATATTCTATTTCATCATGTTGATTATTTAGCATTTTTTTCAAGGGCCTTGTTTATTTCACCTAACTTGTCAAAAGTATAAGCATAACATTATTAAATCGTTTAATTATTATTCTTTTAAAGTCTGTAGGAGCTGCAATAGTATGCTTTATTCATTCTCGGTATTAGCAATGTATATTCTCTCTTTTTCTCACTTTCTCCTAATTCAAAGAGAATTATCTAGCTTAAAATTTATCATGTTTAGGGGCTGGAGATTTAGCTCAGCTGCACAGCACCTGCCTGGCAAACGCAAGATCATGAGTTTGATTCCTGGTACCAGAAAAAAACCAAAACCAAAACCAAAAAAAAAAAAAAAAAAAAAAATTATCATGTTTATTGATCTTTTCAAAGAACCAACTCTGGCTTCATTTTTCTTTTGTGTGTGTGAACTTTCTATACACCTTTATCCATACATCTTTCTTTCCTCTTATTTACTTTTGGGTTGTTGTTTTATTTATTCTCCTATTTGTTGTTTTATTTATTCTCCTAATAAACTTTAAGCCTTTCTCCTTTTCCAATAAAAAATTATAGAACTAGATATGTTTCTTTAAACTCTAAAATTCATACTTAACTGGGCATCTTATGTCTTTGTTTACTAAAGTTGGCAATACTGGACAAGGACCATGTGGTTGATTCGTGTATCGTTTTTTCCTTTCAACTTTCTAGTTGACAGTTGAGGAAAGAAAAGCCTAGTAAAATCTGGTACCAGCTATTTTGTGGTGGTTAGATGTAGAAGTCCAATACCACCTTCTAAAGACAGATGACACTGAGTTTCTGAAGAAAGAGACCTTCTCTGTCCCAAACTACACAGACTTGGGTCCCTGATGCACCTTGAATAGCACTTCTGCAAAATTCTCCCAGAGAAAAGTTTTCTTGTTTGCAGACATTTGGGCAAGGGTATGTTCTCAACTTGACTCTTACAGACTCAGAAGTGCCTTTCTGCCTATTTAAGATTCTGTAAAGTTTTGCTTGATGAAACCTCTTTTTTTTTCATTCTGTAGCTTCCAATTCCATTTGACTACCTGAATCCTTTTGTTTTTCTTTTATGTAGTTCTGCAAAAGATAGATTTCATTGGCTGCAAACTCAGACTATGCAAAAATGTAACATTTAGAAATGTCTTCTGTAATTTCATTTAATTTATATCTCCATCTCTCATCCATTAAATGATATAAAACTTTTCATAAAAGATTTTGTACTGATTTTTAATGCACTGAGAGACATTATTATACAGTGACACATTTATAGAGTATAATTTTTTTAATACAGTAAAGTTTTTCTCTCCTACTGTCACTGGACTCCTTGGTTTCTTTCATTCCTGCCGAGTATTCACTTTTTATTTGAATCTTGTGTGTGCCCCAAAATAAATTTTTCACACTCAAACAAGTATGGATTTATTTTCTTATTTTCCACTCTTAATAAAATACAGGACCTAGACTTTTTTCACTTAAGATGTTTTGACAGTCTTTCCACATAAGTACATTGAACAATTTCTCAGGTGTTTTTGTTTGAACAACTGCATACTAGTTTTCCTTGTGTCTGGACATCTGGGCAGTTTCCAGTCTTGTGCTGTTACAAACTGTGCTGCAGTGGGTAGATTTGTGTTTATGTCGTTTGTTCCCATGAGTGTATAACTATAGCTTTTACTTTAGAATTACAATTACTGGGTCAAAGGGTATCTGCAGTTGTAATTTTGATAAATATTGCCAATTGACTTCTCTAAGCATTGTGTAATTCATTTTCATATGAGGCACACCTCCTACCCACTGCCCTTGACAACAGAATAGATTTATACAACTTTTGGATCTTTGCCAATCTGATAGGTGAGAAACAGTAGCTCAATGCACTTTTAATAAAAAGTCACTTATGTTTCCCACATCTGCTTTTCTTTTGGATGGCTGGTCTTTTTCTTATCTATCCCTGTAAATAATTGTCACTTCTGACTTTCTCTTTTTTTCATTTCTTGAGGGAGGGGCTTGCAGACATTTTAAAAATTTTATTTCATCAAATGTATCAATGTTTACTTTTATGACATCTTGATTTTGACCCATGGTTACAAAGATCTTTGCCCTTCCAAGAACATAAAGGCATTTTCTAGTGTTTTCTTCTGGAACTTCTTTGGCTTAGTTTTTAAAAATTTAAATTATTTGATCAAGTTTTAATTTCCCAGGTGTGAGATGTGGATTAGATTATATTATTGCTTTTTTTTTTTTTTACTTTCATGACTCTCTTATTGTTTTCTTTCCAAAAGGTTGTGTAATTGTTTCAAGTTTATATATTAGATAGTTTATTATTTCTCTGAAGACTTGAGATTTGGTGGCAGCAATGAGTCAATTCAGGGAAAATTCAGTCAGTTCATATTCTTTCTAGGAAACAGTAAAGGGAGTTGTCACCTCTCTGGATTTAACTCCAGAAATGAGCCAGAAGAATACTCCTACCTCTCTCTGGAGCTCTGTATCTGTCCTCAGGCTCTTTTATTTTTTCTTCCAAGATCTAGTAGATTTTATTTTAGAATTTTAGTCATGAGACAAAAATATAAATTCATTAGCCTATAAAAGGACAGTTGAACGTAAATTGTAGGTCTGAGCAAACAAGACGAGTGAAGTTCACTTGTTCCTATGACTAAATGTTGAGACGATCATCTGCACCGATAGGTGGCCTTACACAGGGTCTGGGTTTGCAGAGGGCTGGGTGGAGGGCTTATTGGAGCTACAGTCTTAAAGGCTCCTTCATGACATTTGGGTTCCACTTCGTAATACGAAATCTTCAAAACTTCAGGTGTTGGAGGCTCAGGAACATTTTCTCTCAAGCCATTGCTTTTGCCTTAGGCTTCTGATATCTATTTCAAAATGGGAAAGTTTCTAACGTTCTTTCTCTTTCTTTCCTGGCCCCTGTGGGCAGTCATCTAGCATGCTGGTGTTGGAGTACAGAGAGGGCAGTAGCGGCAAGAAATAGCAGCCACGGAGGCCCAGGTCAATTTTCCGAAATCTGGCTCCACCACACTGCTGTGTTCGTGAACACAGTACTCAGGAAGCACTGGCCCGAAGCCTGAGGTATGTCCAGCACTTGAAATATCACTTGAAGCATGAAGATCTACTTCCAGTCTTGGTCGGGCTGGGGAAACTGTGCACCTTTCTCCCTTCGGCCTCAGTTTCTCAATCTGCATCACCTTTCTCCCAGTCCCCCTGTGAGAATCCAAACATGTCACAGAGGCAAAGGCACCATACACATGTAAGGCGTTATGATGATCTTCATCCTCATCAAAAACATTTCCTGAGGGCCCCCTGGGTTCCAAACTCCCTCCCAAGGCATCTGTCCTGACACATAACAAATACGTCTTTGAGATGGTTTTAATTGCCGGTTAGCTTCCTTTCAGGCCTGATTCATTTCTGATCCCAGCAGCAACAAAGGGAGCTTTTATTGCTGGCCTTCATTTCTGGAAATTAAATTTCCATTTTCAACACTAATGCTACTGTAATTCGCAGTGGTTTCTGTCTCTTTTTATTGTGTCTGACAGCAAGCAGCCTATCAGCAACGTAAGTGGCTGAATACGCATATGTAAATTCGCAACATGAAAAGACATTTTTGAAAAGCGGAGGGAAAGAAAAACTTTTAAAGTAGGAAATTAGAGCAGTTATTGGATCCTACACCATGGTTAATGAGTGCGCAGAAAGCAAACAGTCACAGGCTCTGAGACCTCAAGCGTTACAGCCAGGGCGACACTTTTCTTGTTTTTGGAAGGAAATCAGTAATAGTCTCCACACACGGGAACCCTTCAGTTTGCATTTTTTAATGCCTCCAGGGAGGACAGGGTTTCTGGTTTCAAATCTGTTAAATTTTTCTTTAAAAGACGGGTTTTGTTCAGAAACCAAAACAAAAATTAGCATATGAAGAATATATGCAGGTCACGCGTTGGCCCCTGTGCTCGGAAGATTTCATCAAGCGTGGCTTCAAAACATCGGTGGGTTCCTGAGGAGTGGGGTAGGACCCGGTCACTTTGGCTTAATTATGTCAAATCTCTTTCTAAAAAAAAAACCCACACCCTGCTTTTATTAAGGATTACGTGCGTTGAATCTGGCAGAAGGCCTAACAATATGTTAAAGGCAAAGGAGGAGGAGGAGGAGGAAAAGGAGGAGGAGGAAAGGAGAGGTGAGAAAGTCTCCTGGGAGTTGAGTTATGGGAGAGTTCAATTTTCTTTTACTCCTTTATCTGTGTTCTCTAAATGTTCTGCAACAGAAGAATATGGCTTTAGAATTACAAAAAATAGCAGGTACTCAGGACAAAGCAGAACAGTTTTGCTTCTTTATTTTGCTCCAGGTACCCAGATCTTGCATAGAGAGAGCCTTAACTCAACTCAGATGAATAAATTAACTCAGACTGAGGCCCCGTGAAGTGTTGGCGCTGTCCTTTCTTTCTGTCTCCAAGTTCATCTTTGCTCTTCCTTTCACAAGTGAGTCTTTCTGAGTTGGTCTTCGTGCCGTCCAAAAACTGATCAGCCACAGGAAACTGGTTTGGAGGTGACAGGAAAAAATTAGGAAAAACAGAAAAGCCTTCCTCATGTAAACACAGGCTGTTTTTGTGACTTATAATATTCTAAGTGTTGAAGATATTATTCCTGAAAATGTTTATTCAGTGAGACTTTGAAGCTTAATAGTCCTAGAGTTATGATTTTGCACCATCTTGTTGTGTGAACTTGGCCAAGGTTGTGAGTGGACATTGGCCTCATAGCTGGGATCAGGGTTTTAGAACTGGAACCAGGAATCAGGTGTCCAAATAGGATAAAAGATGGAAGAGTGAGTCAGATTGACTCATTAGGGATCAATTAAAGATTTCTTGGCTTCCCCCTCTATCATCTGGTACTGGGGATTGAACCCTAGGCTGCACACTGATCCACATCCCCAGCCCTTTCTTAATATTTTTATTTTGAGACAGGGTCTCCCTTAATTGCCCAGGCAAAGCTTGAATTTATAGTCTTCCTGCCTCAGCCACCATGCCTATTTAAGACTGTTTATTTTTCACTGAAATTCCACTTTAATTTTTCTTTTCCTCCTTCATCTTTCCCCCTGTTTTCTCATTATTGTCTTCTTCTACTCCCTTCTCCTCCTCTACATCCTTTTCTTACTCCTCCATTCTTTTTCCTCCTCTTCCTTTGCTTTCTTTCCTCTAACACTACGTCCTTCTTCCTGGTCATGGAACTGGACTCCTCCTAGTCTCCCTTCTAGATGAGTCTGGTCATGTGGCTAAGCCTCAACCAATAGGATATGAGTAGAAGTAATGCACAATTGTTTTGGCCATAGATGTGTGGAAGTAGTAACTCTCCCATGTTCCCTTTTTCCTTCCCTAGTTAAATGCAGGTGAGGACAAGATCCCATTAGATGATGGAACTACACAACAGAAGGAGATGAAGTCCCTGAATCAGGACCTGGAGGGAGGTCCAGCTGACCAGAAACATCTACCTAAGACTCGGACACAGGAAGACACAGGAGAAGTGAACTTCAAGTGCATTTGAGTTACCACATTGTGGGGCCTGCTTCTTACCACCGCTTGCCTAACTGATGTAGAGTCAAAGACCAAAAGTTAAGTGCATGACGGAGGACCAGCAGTGCAGAGCCAAGAGTTAAAGAGTTATATTGTCATATACTTGAAAGCCAATAAAGAATGAGATAAGGACAAATTTTTGGGGCTCTGTGGCAGGTTGTTATTAATCTGGGTGGGTGTGTAAGAAATAGGAGTTACTGGTTACAATCAGCTTCTCTGCTCTTTGTCTCCCCAATCTGAAAAAGGTTCCTGGGCAAGACTAAGATTAGAAAGTGGATTTCACTGGAGGCCCAACAACACCAAGTGACTGGGGACTACTTAGAGCTCTGTGTTAGGAGGGATTCTGAAGTTGCATCAAGGATCTGCAGCAAAGAGAACCATAACCAGTTCTTGATGCAGAGGTAGGAAGGGAGAGAGGGACTTGCATTTCACAGCTGCCCTAGAATGCCACAAGGCTGACTTGTGCACTTAGGTGGGCGGATGGCTGCCAGGTTGGAGCAGCAGTGTGTCCAGCTGAAAGTGACTTCAGAGCCAAACAACCAGAGGTCAATCTGTCTCTCCTCAGACTCTTAATTTATAGTTTTAACTTCAAAGATACCAAACTGCTTGCCTGTTTTATGCATAGAAATTCTACCCAGGTTCCTTCTAGGTTCTTCTAAATGAACTCAATAAAAAGACAGTAGGAAAGAGTTCAGTTGAATTCTGAGCTCAGACTGATTCAGAAATATCTAAAAAATTTAAGATGATGTACTCAGAGGCCCTGGAATGAGCAAAGAACTCTGACACAACTTAGAAAAATAGGTTGTTCCAGCAGGGTGGCCCAGAGGAAGAAACAAACTCACAGTTCAAAACCTGGGCAAGTTAGAGCATGCAGTTGGACCTGGCTATCAGAGATCCTCAAGGCAGACTTCCTGTGTCTACCTGTTGCTAGAATGCTGTGTGGCCTTAGACAAATGATAGCTCCTCTCTGAGCCTTAGTTTCTTCATCTGTAAAATAAGAGTTTTTCTACTCTCTCAATGATTAGAATTTGAACTGTGTTCCTTGGAGCCCAAAGATTCAGAGATGATGTTTGGAGTGGGGGTTGGGATGTGGCTGAGTATATGGGGACCTGGAACCCCTTCCTTCTTTCCAGCATGGTGACCTGTCTCGTATCTACTCATGGGCAAAATTGTGGTGCTCTACTGATTCCCTTTCCCCACAGCTGGTGTAGCGAGCAGCTCCTGCCCCTGGAGGGCACCCTGGGTGGCTGCAACGCACTCTGGGGCCGAGCCAGGCGGAGGGAGGTGGGTGGGCTCCGGCACCAGGGCTGCATCAGAACTTGTGCAGCTGCCTAAATATTTTGCCTCTAGATTTCTCCTCCCAGCTGCCCACGGTCTGGTTCATCTTAATTAAAGGGCAGCTCTCTTTCCGCCTCTGGCTTTTTGTGGGTTCGCTCCCCTCCTTAAATTGATATTAAATCCCCAAGTGTGGCTGTGGCTCCTTTCTGGTTTTACTTGGACTTGATTTTATTAGTGTAATAGCAGTGCTAGTATTCACATATTAATCATAATAACGAGTACAGTTCTACGTTTACCAACCACTTCAACTTTTAAGTCTTTTCACCTACACGCACCCACTGACAGATAGAAAACCCATCTCACCTTCTTCTTGTTTTCTTCAGTTGCAGCTGTAGCAGACTGTTAGATTTCATCCAAAACATCAGCTTTGAATCCAGGCTGCTGTTTTGAACCTTGGTGCCACCACTTACTAGCTGTGTGACTTGGAGCAAGTTACTTAACTTGCGTGGTGCACATGTCCTCATAGGTAAAATGAGGTGATCTGCCTTGTCATTCCATTTAACATGGGGTGAGGTGAGGAGAGGAGGGTGGGGGGCTGGGGACAACATACTACCTCTCTTGTAAGCTATGGATGAAATATTTAAATGATTTAAGATGTGCTTGGAATAGTGTCTGACATATGCTCAGTTCTATATAAGTATTCACTACCAATTTTTAAAACAACCAAGAAACAAATAATAATAAGAGAAAAAACTAATACCTGCTTCTTTTCACCTGGACATTTTTGACAGGGATAGTATCACCCACAAAAGGCAGAAGTTAGTTCTCTGGGAAGGAGTGTACCAAAATCTAACTCTTGTCTATGCAAAAAGCACTGGTGCACATCCAGCAGACTGGGGATGTGCACCATCACCATGTTCTCAAGATTCCTGTGTGGGGACATCGCTGGGCCCTCAGAGAAAGGCTGAAGCACTGTTCTCATCCCTCTGCCAGAGGAGCACTCGGCTCTGTGGCTGTCCTTCCAGATTCTTGCAAAATTTCTTCTTGTATTTTGCAGCAATGCCATTCCTGCGAGTTCATTCTCTCCTAATTCCTCACAGCTGTCTTTCTGTGGGCAGAGGCACAGTGATGCAGAGATGACAGCACATCAGGATACAGCAGAGTCAACGTACAGGTTGCCCAATTTGTGGGGACTCAGCAGGCTCTAGTGATTGTGTATTTTTGAGTCTTGGGTGAGATCCCTAGAAATCCAACTGTGGAGGGAGTGACTGTGCTTTTAAAGTTTTCTTAACTCCTGCCAGGTTACTCATTTGTTCTTCTCAAGAATTGTGAGCATGATCTCTGGATGTGGCAACCAGCTCAGAGAGGCTGCAGCATGCAGTGGAGGGAAATAGCCCAGCACATTTCAACTGCAAGTCTCCCAGGCCCTAGCAGCAGCCAAGTTCACACTGAAGCTTTTGTCTCTGTGCTAGTAAGACTTTTGGGCCTGTGACAAAATATCAGAGAAAATCAACTTAAAAGAAGAAAGGTTTATTTCGGCTCCTGGGTTTAGAGGTATCAGTTCATGGCTTTTGTTTCTTGGTCCTGTTGCTTCTGGTCCCATGACAAGATAGAATATCATGGTAAAGAGTGTGGCAGAGGTGGTAGAGTGAGGTTGCTAACCATTTGGTGGCCAGAAAAGAGGTGGGAGCTTGGGGCTGAGGATCTCTGTACAATGCAGATCCTGGTGTAACGGGTCTGGGGAAGGAGGGGAGGAAGGTTCTGCCTTGATGACAGCTTGGGGACTGTTGGGAGTAGCTCAGTTCAGAAACAGAATGAAACCTGTCTGATTCTGGATGAAGCCACATAGCAGGGACCATCCCAGCTTTTCCTTAAGCTTCCTCTCTGCTGCTTCCTTCTGAAACAGAGCACCCTGGAGGATGCTGCTTCTGATCTCTGTGTGCACTTCGCTCTAGGTTCTAGGACAAAGCAAGTGACCTGAAGAGTCAGCCTCCCTCTTACCTTTCTGAAAAGATTCAGCTTTGTGTTTCATCAGAAGAGGTCTTTGCCTACATCTGATAGTGCCCAAAGCGCACAGAAATGGACATTTGCACCCTCCCACAATACACACACACACACATACACACATACACACACACACACAAAATTAAGTCTTCAGCATTTCAGATTTTGCTGCCATTGCAAGTTCCTGCTTGGTGGCTAGTTTCTGCATATGATTCTGGAAGAAGGATGCTGTAGAACCCACATATCTGAGCATTTAAGATTCTTTTGATTGTGATAGAGGTAGAATGTAGATGCCAACAGTATAATATGGAGGCCCAGGGCTCTGGGAATACACACAATCACCGGCCTTGGGTGAGCACCTGCTATGTGTTCAGAGGTGTTCAAAGTGCTTTGTAGGTATTATCGCATTTTATCAATGGATGCTATTGTTTGTAGCATTCAGTCCACACAAAGAAACCAGGCCAAGCGAGGTTAAGTAATATGCCCAAGGTCACAGAGGTGAGAAGTGGGAGACCCTATCTTTCAGGGTCATACTGCCTTGCTCTCCTGACCGTCATGAGAAAGGAAGACAAGAAGAGGTAGAAAGGCAGGCAATGTAGTCAGAGGTGGCCACCCCTGGTGAGGGCTCAGTATGGCTTCTCCATGTCTGCCATCACTCATTAGGAGCCTGACATTGTGCAGCTCTC